TCTTCCCAGCTTGTAATTTCATCCATTGTCAGGTTAATAGTAATAAAAGTAAAGCAAAAATGGAAGATAATTAATGACACGTAGCAAAATTGTATAGGTTACAATTAATAGATTTGCACTGAATATTGTGTTTATTTGTCACAGTTATTATATTTTGTATTAATTATATTATATTTATTTAAGTTAAAGTTTCACTGATGAGAATATCACTGGATACGTCTTTTACAGATATCACGTACCATGCATAGGTTTCATGATGTATCAGTGTTAGTACAATTTGTAATTACGTAGGCATATGTCGAGCGAATGTAGAGTATTAAAATAATATTGACATACAATTTCAAACAGTAAGCTGTGTAAAATAATTTGTTATAAAAAATGATACATAGTCTTTTTATTATCAACTCCTCAGGGTAAGCATTAAATTATGGGAAAAGGAACATATGTAGTATTTGACAAGTGTTTGGTTAAAGATCTGCATATAATCTTATTATAATGTATAGTCTATACTTATTGTACAGTATTAAAAATAAATGCTTTTATGTATGATTAATAAATGTTTACAAGCAAGGATCTTGTTGATCTCACAAAGTTAAAATACTAATACTGTATTTAGAGATGTATTCATGGAAAAACATTGGAAAAGTGCAGTTGCACGATCACTCTGTGACTATTTTTTTGATCAACAAAGAAGAGTTTTATCTCCTGAAGATACACCGCCTGTAATAGCTACACCACATCATTATCTTATTAGCATATATCGTTGTAATATGTTTTTTGTTGCAGTGTGCATGACAGAAGGTATTCATTAAAATTTAAGTAGTAAATTATTCTAATATGAGATTTATTCTAAATAATAATTTTGTGTTATAGTACCACCATTATTTGTGATAGAATTTTTGCATAGGGTTGTGGATACTTTTGAAGATTACTTTAGTGAATGTACAGAAACCATCATAAAAGAAAATTATGTGGTTGTATATGAATTATTGGATGAAATGTTGGATAATGGTTTTCCATTAGCTACAGAATCTAATATTTTAAAGGAACTTATTAAACCACCAAATATTTTAAGAACTATTGCAAATACTGTTACAGGAAAATCTAAGTCAGTAATTTAGTTGTATATTTTGAGTAAAACATGTGTATTTAATTATACCTATAAATTACAGTGTAAGTGCAACATTACCAAGTGGACAATTATCTAATGTTCCTTGGAGACGTACTGGTGTTAAATATACAAATAATGAAGCATACTTTGATGTTGTGGAGGAAGTGGATGCTATTATTGATAAAACTGGAGCAACCATATTTGCAGAAATTCAAGGCTATGTGTGTTTTTTACTTAATATTACTAATGTCAATTTATATATTAATAAGAATAACATTTGTAATGTACTATTTAAATTATAGATTGATTGCTGTATAAAGTTAAGTGGTATGCCAGATTTGACACTTTCTTTCATGAATCCCAGATTATTTGATGATGTCAGCTTTCACCCTTGTGTTAGGTTTATAAGATGGGAGGTAAGAATAAAAAAATACTTAAGTTTATTAAATTCATTATTAACAAAACATTCTTCTTTTTGCAGTCAGAACGAATACTCTCTTTTATTCCACCAGATGGTAATTTTCGTCTTCTTTCTTATCACATAGGATCACAAAGTATTGTAGCTATTCCAATATATGTAAGACACAATATCAGTCTTAAAGAACCAGGAGGTGGCAGATTAGACATAACTGTGGGACCAAAACAGACTATTGGTAGAACTGTATGTACCCTTATTTTTTATATAATGTACAAAAATGTAAAAACTAATGCATTATTAAAGTATTCAAAATAATTTAGGTAGAAAATGTCACATTAGAAATTCCTATGCCGAAAATAGTATTAAATTGTACACTAAATCCAAATCAAGGAAAATATTCATTTGATCCTGTTAGCAAGATACTATTATGGGATATTGGAAGGATAGACGTTTCTAAATTACCAAACCTGAAAGGATCGGTACGATGATTATAATAAAACAATCTTTTGATGTTAAAGCGAATATACAAATATTATAAACCAAAATTTGACTTTTTAGATTACTATTCAAAATTCTGCTGGTGTAATGGAGTCTAATCCTGCAATTAATGTATGCATAAACTCTATATGTATGCATATACTCTGTCCAATAAGTTTCACGGCAAACTCGTTTATAAAATATGGTAAAACGTAATAACCAGCTCTTTAATTCCGTTAAGTTAGTAAATCTGTTGTTGATATCTGTAAATTTACGAAATGAGATCTGTTGAATAGTTTGTGTACAGTAGATATTTATGTTAGACGAGATTTGAGCCTTCGGCCATTTTCATCATGTATAAATTTATCAAGTAAAGAGTTTGCATTAGAAACGAAATCAAATTGTTCTAAAAAGTCTTCGGGAATGAATGTTTGGAATTTTTTGAACAGAGTAGTATATTACAAATAATATTCATGTAGAATATTATAAC